ACAGCAAAAGCATAGCTTTAGAATTAGGAACATATGGGTCACACTCAGGAAATAACGAAGGCACCAGTTCATAGTAGCAGAGGGCTTGGCTAGAGCATAGCAGAGTATAAAATGGAAGATGCAGGGAGAGGCCAGGTTTTAGAGCTTCTTTCCCAGCCAAGCTGAGTAGATATATGAGGCAGGAGGGAACCATGATGATGGATGAATGACATATTTTAATTAAATTAATCTGGCCACATTGCAGAGGTAGGACTAGGAGAAGAGTCTGGAATCATTAAGCTTTTTGTATTGATCCCTGTCTCTGGTGCTGTAGGCCTGAACTCTGGTAGTCCAATTTCTCAGGTGGAAATTGAAAAGGCTCCATCCAATTTCAAAAGGTACTGGCCACAAGAGTGAAGAGAATTTAAATATTGGAAATTATTTCAGAAAGTGCCTCACTAGTCCCTTCCCTCTCTTGTGGTTATTTATTAAACCATCTCCGATATTTGCTGTTGTTATGCCTAAGCTGCTTAACATTTCTTTACCTCTTACAAATAATGGTCTTGATAACCTCCCCATCATTATTTTTCCTTTAAGTATTAAACTACACATGTGCTGCCTGGGCACGCTCTGGTGGATAATTGGAATGTCATTGGTGAAGCTTGCATAGCAGTGTTGTAATTACTTCCCTGAATCATCTTAATTTTTTTCCCCAGCGTCCACATCTGAAACTGAAAATATTTGTCCAACCCTTAGGTCTCAGCAGTTAGTCAAGTGGTATGCAGCTGCTTATCTGAAGGTGGTCTTCATGCCTGATCATCTCATTCAGATCTGAGTTCAGATCTCCTCAAGCAGCAGCCCCTGTAATTAGCATGTAGTTGCAAGCAAGGTCTGAGCAGTGGTTCGCAAAGGGTGGTCCCCACATGAGCAGCAGCATCTGGGAATCCTTAGAAATGCAACTTCTCAGGACCTTCTCTCAGATCTACCAACTCAGAAGCCCTGGGAGGTGGGCCCATGACGTAACAAGCCTTCTAGGTGCACGCTAACATTTGAGAACCACTGTCCTGAACGAGTATCTTCACAGGGTTGGACAGCCAGACCCAGGGAGGGCAGACAGACTTCAGAGAACTGCAGGGAGGTGTAGAGGCTGAGAAGAGAGGGCAGTTACTTCCCTCTTGGAGATGATGCAGACGTTCATAGGAATAACTGCTGGAAGTGAGATTTCTGTCTTTCCCCCTTTGCCCTTTGAAAGAGGACCTGGGACGCTGTGGCTTGCCTTGTGCTTGGGAAAGACACGTCCTTAAGTCCGTCTTCAGGAAAGACTGTTCTTACTCATGGGCCTCATTGGACATTGTGTTGTTAAATTGATGAGGAAAGAAGTATATTTCCCACTTTGCGTGAATCTTATTTTCCTGTATAGAGAGAGCTCAATTCTGAGACGTTACTGTTGATGGTTAGGAGGAAGTGGGAGTTTGTATTTCAGCCTCTATCTAACACTGGATATTCATCCCAGAGGAGCAGGCATTTCTTGAAGGTGCCCCCGGGGGTCCAGGTGAACACTGACATTTGTCTAAGGTTTTAGTATCAGTCTTGATCCACGGACTCTGGAAACTGAGGAATAAATAGTTCATCAGCTTACCACGTGTCTTGTGTCCTCTAATTATTGTCTCCAATTAACCAAGGAAAATATAGGGAAAGTCCATTTTCTACTGCCAGGATTAAAACTAGTGTCCTTATTTCAATTCTTAAAACTCCACTTTTTTTTTTTTTTTTTTTTTTTTTTTTAATTGGCAACACAGGTCCATAAAAAGCCGGTTCTCCGTGGACATGCTCATCAGAATGGCGAATTACATCTAAGTGTGTATCTGAGTTCCTTTCCTTGATGGTTAAAAAAGTGATTTAGTTTCTAGCTCCTGGAATTTCTGTATGTCTAGACAAGGAACTCTCCTACTTTACACTAGAAGGAAGAGGAGTTTCTATGTAATTGTCCCATCCTACAATGAGCATTAATCATTAAGATACAATCTCTTTGGGAGAAAAGAAATCCTGGCTAATATGGCCAACCAACCCTTCTGTTTGTTGAGATCCATGAACTTATCCATGAGTTGTTTCCATCTTGGGAGTGTAGAACTTCCCCTCCTGGTCTGTGACTGTGTGAATCCACGGACCAAAGGCCCTGAGAGGACTGATCTTGGAGGGGATCCTGGCCAACAGTTCTGTTGCCACTTAAGAAAATCCAGCAGGACATTCCTCCTTGCACTCTTTGGCAAGTTAAAGAGCTAAAAGGGGTAGAAAACTGGTTAACTCCCTGGTTAATCTGGTCCTACCTGGGCCCTAGGGGCTGACCCTCTTTTGTCCCCAAATTTCCTGCTTCCCTCTCACCTTTTCATCTCAGCAGAGTGTGCTCATTTATTGGTGAGCTCCAGCTGAGGAAGGACTGCCAGCACCAGTGCATAATTTACTCCCTTTACTATTTCAGCTCAAAGTCTAGGACTCGAGGAATGATATGAAACAATGATTAAATCGGCTCAAAATCTGACAGAAAAAAAGGGTCTATTATGGTTTCAACATTATTCTCTGTAAATCAGAGGTGCTGCAGAGGTATATTTTTCAACACCATGTCCTTTAGCACCAGCCCTCTCTCTGTTGCCTTTAGAAATGGGCGGCATAGGAGGGCGCAGCAGAAATGGCAAGGGGGCACAGAACGGTGGAGAGAAGCTGCTGCAGCCTGATCCTTTATACTTTTTTGAACATCTGCTTCTATTTCTGTTGAACCAAAATGCCCTCAATGGCATTGAGCTGGCATCTCTTCCTACACTGTTCTGTCCTCTCCACAGTCTAGCAAGCTCATTCCCTACAAGATGTATTTTAAGGTAATTACCAAATTATCCACAGGAGCCATGGGAATAATGGGAGCTAGAGAACTCACAGGACCCCCAAACCTGCCATCCGTAACTCTAATAGCTATTGTGAGGTCAATAGTATGGTTATCATTTGACCTTGGTGAAGCAATGGTGGGTTTCCCATAATAGACTTAGGCACTGGGATTTTCACTGTCCCCTTGACTGAATACCCATCAGTCTTGATGGATATGAATTTATAATGCACAGCTAAGCTGCTGTTGGCACACATGAAGACATGAGTGTGATATTTACCAACAGAGCTCCGAGGCCTCCCTCTCTTGCTCAGGTCTCCCACAAACACACGCCTTTGCTTTTTCATAGCAAAGGGCTACATGGTCTCCTCATGCTTTGGGATCCATAGTGGATTTCTGGTCAACCGACTTCTGTGCTTTCTTTCTCTGCAGCAAGGGTAGCTAAGGACTCTGGCACCTGGGAACCTTGCAGGCTCTGTTCTTGAAACAAAACAGAATGCCATCGTGGCTTGGGAATGCAGCAATGTCACATTAACTCTAGATCTGCATTTTCCTTTCTCTGTTTAAACTGATACCAATGGAGGAGAGCAGGCAAAGAGCCAGGCCGTGATGTCTGGCTTTTTCTCCTGTCTCCTTTCAGGATTGGACTAAGCAAATTCATTGTCTTTCCTCCAGATCCCTTACTGTAGTGAAAACCCAGTCAGTTGTTTCCTTTATAAAAGAGCCATTTTTTTCAGTGTTTGTTTTCTGTTCAGTCTCCTTAGTTTGTAAATGCAAATGTAGATTTCTCCTAATGCTTTTCTGGAGGTTCTTTCCTCCTGTTTGTGATTTGGGAGGTGACAAAGGGCATGTTTGACCTGTGATAGAGATGAGAATGGATAAATGTAGTGCATGTAATATGATCCCACAGACTGACCTGCCCTGGCTCTACATGGGCCCTGCATTCCCCTACTGCACAGATTCCTGCCTGTTGAACAACTAAGCATTGTCCTTACAGACGTGCAACTATACTAACTGGTATTGCATACATCCGTTTCCAAACTGGTAATACTGGGAAATCCTCCATCCCGCATTTCTCAAGCTTGCCCTCTCCTGGCCTGGAGGCCCACGTTGCTTTCCATCTGGGGAAAGTATTTAACTTCTCCCCACACTCCCCTCTTTTGCTCACCTCACCTTCCCTTATGCTCCTGGCCTGGGTGTTACCATTTGCTTACTGATAACAGTATACTATAAGTTTCATTCTCAGCTCTGAGATGCTTATGAGCCTTTCCTGCTTCCCACCCAGCCCCAAACTTGGGACTCTATCACACACTGATCCTCGGATCAGTTTGACGCGGGAAGGCGTGTACCAGTTTGTATAGTAGCACACTCTTGATCTGCCGACTCCTGAACAAAGTAGAGTGTGCTGGGGTTCGCATTCGCTGCTCGACACTCACAGAGCCGGTTAACCTGCATGCCAAAAAGAAAAATGAAATTAACCCTTAGAGTACTGCTTCAACGTTTGGTTTAATGGCCTTGACTTTTACCAGTTAGGCAATGCTTCTTCCCGGATCAGAGTGCCGCACATGAATCCACACTTAGTCTCCCCAGAACCTCACCCAGGATCCTCTCCTCCACAGCTTTCCTGAGGCGCTCCTGGGTCCTTTTCTGTCAGTCGGCTGATGGCTTTAAAAAGGTTCCAAACATGGCCACCGTGTTTAATTGGAAATGGGATCCACTGCCAATGTGCTGAAGGGTGTGAGGGACTGTACTCAGCTGTGGGAACGTGTCCTCTAAAGGAAAGAAGTCAGTCCTTTAAGGGTTAATGTGAAACTAAGGAGTTTGGTAGTGTCTTTTGCTTGTCCTTCCTCCAAGGTGTCTGCATGACCTTCTTAAAAATTTTAGCTCAAATGTGGAATGGTAATAAAAATAATCTAGAGAGATAGAAAATCATAAAAAATAAATAACAGAACAAAAGACCGAATGGTTGAATGGAAAGACCCCTTGGCGATGCTTGCTTGATGATCACACGGGGTAGGAAGACCAAGCGCTTTATTTTACGGATGTTCACTGTGTCCTCTACCCCAGCATCACCGCTGTGTGGCCTGCGGGAGACTGGGCGGTGCCTCTCACTTACCCAATGCTTTTTCTTCTTCCTGTCTAATAGCCCAATAGAATCCTGCCAGAATTTCTACAAAGATTTCACATTACAGATCGACATGGCTTTCAACGTGTTCTTCCTTCTCTACTTTGGCTTGCGGGTAAGTTGGAGCAACACTGCATGGTCCCACCACGGGGGTGCAGGTCTTGTACCCCAGGGCCATCCTCCACCGACGTCTGCTCTCACAGGCAGACAAAGCCCGGCGTTCCCAGGGGACGAGGCAGCCCTGTGTCCGGAGTTTCAGTCTGTGGGAGAGCCTTTTCCTTAGAACAGCATTTTCTGGAGTATATGTTAATTGTGTTCACAGGGGGAGAAATGGGGATTGGAATAACTATTATGTCTCCACTGGCCAACTGCTTCTCTTCCCTCCATTCACACTGGAGGGCATTGTTCCCTTAAACAGAACTTAGAAAAGTGCTTTTTACCTTCAAATGTTTGTTTATCAGCTGAATCCTGAGAGAACAGTGGAATCAAGCAGAGGGTGGGGGGAAGTGCAGCGGGCAGCAGAATTTGGGGTTTGGGAGTGTTTATGACGAGTGGTACCGAGGTGGATTACAGAGGTGTGTGTGTGTGTGTGTGTGTATGAATGAATGCATCCATATATGCTTTATTTACATTAGAGTCTTTTCCCTCTGATGCAGTTGAAAAACCACAGAAAAATATACTGCCTGAGCTTTCTCCAAAGCCAACAGAGCAAGCAATAAAAGAACAGCCTTTAGAAACAGCTGTCTGAATTCTAAGACAAAAACTAGCATGTCATTGGTGTAGATATGAGAAGAATATAACATCTCACTCCAGACCCCCACAAGAAACCAAAACGTAGCTTTTGGCAGAGTGTCTTTTGAATGCTGGCACCAAGCTTCTCATTTTTCCTCTCTTTTCTTCCCCCCAGTTTATTGCAGCCAACGACAAGCTGTGGTTCTGGCTGGAGGTGAACTCTGTGGTGGATTTCTTCACGGTCCCCCCTGTGTTTGTGTCTGTGTACTTAAACAGAAGTTGGCTTGGTAAGTCAGCCTCTCTCCCCTTCTTCCTCCTGCTTCCTGGGCCATGGCTGAAATAGAGACTCCAGGGCGGGTCAGAGGGCGGGGCTGCTTCTGTGGGAAGGAAGTTGTGTGTGTTACTGTGAACAGCCCCTGGAGTGTTAGAAGCTGATGGGGACAGTTCTCCTTGGAGCACCAGACCACAGGATTTGCACAGCCTGTTCTTCAGGTAATGTGGTTTGGTCATTGTGGAAGCCTGGTGGCCATCACTGTCACAGCTGGGACCTCTGTGTGCCTGGGACCTCTGTCACCTTGTATTCAACTTGAAGTTAGTGCTGGACAAATAAGCCCATGGAGGCAAGGCCAACTTTCTAAGTAGCTGATTCGGGTGCCCAGAAGACCAGCTTGGTAAAGCCAGCTTCTACATGCCTCTCAGTTTTATAAAGAGTGGGTCCTGTGTGGTTTATTTACAGCAATAGTTCCTTTGTGGGCAGGATAAGGCAAAGCATCTCGAGTCACTCCTTGCCTTGAAGAAGACTGAGCTCCCTGTGCTAAAAGAAGAACTTCTGCCTGGCCTGTGTCACTCAGTGGTTGAGCATCAATCTACAAACCAGGAAGTCATGGTTTTATTTCAAGTCAGGGCACTTGCCTGTGTTGCAGGCTTGATCCCCAATATGGACATGTAGGAGGCAGCCAGTCAATGATTCTCTGTCATCGCTGATGTTTCTGTCTTTCTCTCCTTCTCCCTTTCTCTCCTGTCTCCACTCTCCACATCACCTCCTATCTCCACTCTCCATGTCACCTCCTGTATCAGGACTAGGGTAGCTCAGAGGATGACTGTGGCAGGTCTTAGAGAAACAGTTTTAGGGTTCTCTCTGCTTCACTGAATAATGTTCTGCTGCCAGGTGTCTACAGGGGAAGAAGAAAGGCTGAAACAGGACTTGGAGGACAATTTGTGGGTTCCATCTGTTTTTATTCTCAGGATTTTTTTGTCTTAACTTTATTCCTCCCCCCAAATTATATATATGTCTAAGCAACCATCCAACCATCTGACTATCTGACCAGTAGCTAACCAGGGTGCAGATGTTCAATGCAGGGGCTGCTGAGCTGTGGTGACTTGGCAGCTGTGGTTCTTAGGTGATTCACCTGGAACCAGGGAGGAGGAAGCCTAATTCTGGGTGGGTCACTTGAGCACCATCCTCTTGCAATCCAGGACCCCTTGGGGGATGTCAGAGAGCTGGTTTTGGTTCAATCCTTGCAGGCTAGGTCGAGGCATCCCACTGGTGCATGAATCTGTGCACCGGGCCTCTAGTATGTATATATTATAGTCATTATAAACATTCAAAAATGCTTACATAAAGAAAATATTAATCATATTACCCTCCTGCCCCCCTCCCTGCCTGCTCTCTGGGCTGCTCTGTGTTAACGGCCCCCAAAACTGTCCTTCACATTCATTCCACCACAGAAAGCATGAATGTTCACACGATAGTGTGTTAGAAGTCATGGTTTTTGTACAAGATAATTGTGTGAATCACATTATACAATAATGACATCTCTTCAGCACAAAAATCCATCTATTGCTGTGCCCCAGTTTATTCAGCCATAACTCTAATGATGGACACATGATCATTTTCTTCTTCTACTATACACAATGGTCTAATAAACATGCTCATCCATGTATTTGTACAATTCTATTTGCATAAGTAGTTCCAGGTTCCTGGGAGAGGACTTGAATATGTGTAGTTTACTTTGCACAGATATTGATGGATAACATTTCAAAAATGTAGTGTCAATATGTTGTAGCAACATGTTGTGATGTTCTTGCTAGCACTGTGAATTTATTATATACATAGTATCATATATCTATATAATAAAAGCCTAAATGACCATTGCAGTCGAACTACCAGAATGACCAGTCACTATGATGCACACTGACCACCAGGGGGCAGACGCTTAATGTGGCAGCTGCCCCCTGGTGGTCAGTGTGCTCCCACTGGGGGAGAGCTGCTCAGCCAGAAGCCTGGCTATGGCTGGCGAGTGTAGCGACATTGGCAGGAGCCTCTCCTGCCTCCATGGCAGCACTAAGGAACAGCAAGCTGAGTGGTAAGGAGCAGCAAGCAGGCAGGCATTAAGGAGCGAGGAGTTCCAAACTGCAAGAGGGATGTCCGACTGCTGGCTTAGGGCCCAATACCCCTCCAGTACACAAATTTTGTGCACTGGGTCTCTAGCTTTAAAAATAAGCATCTTTTATATATAGTATATCTAATAATCTCATGCACACATTGTGTGTGTCCTCTTATAGGACACACTATTTTCTACCGGTTTTCTCATGCTTGATTTGAGATGTGTGTGCTCAGATTGGGTGTTCCAGCCAACACAATGAGCCCATTGAGCTGCACACATATCTGAGAGATGGCTTCCATATGACCCAGATGTGCTCTGCAACCAAGGGTTCCAGACACCTCAGCTTAGCTGTTAGATGGCTTTGTGACTCAGGGGCTCACTGTTCATCACTTGACCTGTTGTTTTCACCTGTATACTAAAGGTTGGGCTTGGCGATCTCTATGGATCTTTTAGCTCAGAAAGTCTCTAAGATGTTTGTATTGATAGGTAAATTTGGGATGTAGGTTGTTGGGGAGGACTGAGAAGTTAATGAAATTAAATCACCAACATTTCCAAAATTACATATGGTCTGCTAACCAGAGCTTTTCCTAACTATCCCATTGCAAAGAGTACACACACACACATACTCCCTTGAAGAGACAAAGAAACAAAGAATGAAAGAAGGGAGATAAGGAAGAAGAGAGGAAGGATAAGAGAGGGAAGGGGGAGAGTGAGAAAGAGGGAGGAAAGGAAGAAGGATGGGAGGAAGAAAAGGAATGTGCCTTCTCTTGGTTATGTTCTGTGCACTTAAGAACCACTTTTCTTTTCTGGAGCCTCAGTTTTCCCATCTGAAAAAATGGGAGGGTTGGCATAATTACTTTCAGTCTTCGTAGTTCCTGAATTTTAATTTTATGTAAGGGTCCATTCTATCTGGGGCCTTGTGGTCCTAGATGATGAGGAGGCCCCTTCCTGACCTTGGTGGAGATGCTTCTGCAGCTAGCAGGCCTCACCCGGGTAAGGGTGTAGCACCAAGCCTCCACCTTGTGAGGGAAATGCGCTCTGGAGTGTCTTACTGCCAGGAGACCTTGGGTGTTTTAAGAATCCATGCCTTCTTGTAGAGGGCTTAATCCTAATTTTTGGAGGTGTGTTCTGATCTAATGAAATCTATCAGAGCAAACAGAAAAGGGGGAAGAAAAAGGAAAGCGAAGAACATGAGATACATTCTGCACCTACTCTGGTTGCTTTTCAAAAAATGTTCTAAGTGTGCTTCAGTTTGTTCATTAATTGAACAATATTTATTAAATATCTACCATGTGTCAGGCACTTTTCCTGAAAAAACATAGCCCAAGGACATTTTGGGCCCTGAAATAATGGTAATGATAATTAATAATAACAATAAGCAAATAACCTTTCTCCTCTTGTAAGAGAAAACACCTTGAATAACAACACTTCTTGTTCTTTGGTAACTGAGCCCCTGGGTGAGATTCAGTACCGGCCTGCCTGCTGTAGAAGGGAAGGTGGAGTGATGATATTTCAAGGCGGGTCTCGTGCCTGATTTAATACATGGGTTATTACACCAAGAGACAAGCATTGTACCAGCTAGCTGCCAGCGGTGGAATGAACATTCCCATGCGTACGGCACATAAAGCAGAAGGAATAATCTCATTAAATGGGGCATTGCAGGAGGTGCCGCCTTCCTCTCAGGAAATGAAAAGGTTCTGCCATTACTGAGGATTGGACTGAGCTGCAGGACAGTGCGTCTCCTGGTTCTCCCACTCACACCTCCATGGCCCTCCCCAGGCAGGGGTCTGGGCTGCAGCTGGCACTTCGGGGCTAAAACACAGGGAGGGCATGACTCCCCACACTGACTTTCCCACAGCATATCCCTTACCATGTTTGATTTCTTATTGTTACTATATGGTTGCCTATTATATAGTCCTAGAGGCCCAACACACACAATTCGTGCAAGAGAAGGCCTTCCTTCCCCTGGCTGCCAGCACCGGCTTCCACTGGCACCTGGGACCCAGGGTTTCCTCTGGCTGCAGGCAGACACCAGCATATTATGCTTTTATTATTATAAGTAGTGTGGTAATTACTTCCTTTTTTGTGCATATTCTTCGTGCCTTTGATAGTCTATTACTAATAAAAGCTAATATTTATTCTGGTACTACTAAGTTCTGGGCACTCTGACAAGCCCCTGACAAACATGAAGTCAGTCCTCAGCTAGGAATTATGTTCCCTGTTTTACAGGTAAGGAAACTGAGGCTCAGAGAGGTTAACTCTTTGGTCCAAGGTCACATTGCCAGGCTGTGATGAAAGAGGTGATTTGTCCCAGATTTGGTCTGACTTTCTGCCCTTCCTCAGGCTGCCTTCTCCCCCCTCTGTCCTGCCATGGAGAGTTTTGGGGTTTGAGGAACTGGGTTGGGGATGACTCAGCTGTTGCACCTTCCATCTCTTCTCACTCACTGAGGGCTTCACTGTGGGCAGGCAGGAAAGAGATTTTATTTAAGAACACATTCCCTTGCCCTGGCCAGTTTGGGTCAGTGGATAGAGCGTCAGTCAACCTGCGGACTGAAGGGTCCCAGGTTCGATTCCAGTCAAGAGCACATACCTTGATTGAGGGCACATCCCCATCAATCAAAGGGGGGTATGTGGGAGGAAGCTGATTGATGTTTGTCTCTTATTGATGTTTCTATCTCTCTATCCCTCTCCCTTCCTCTCAGAAATCAGTAAACATATGTTAAAAAAGAAAGAAAACACACACACACACACACCCTCATGGCTTCCCACATGTCCTTTCCCATGCCCAGTTTCTAGAGTGGCCACTTGGACCTGGGAAACGCAGGTATCTCCTGAGTCCAGGGGCACCTTAGCCACTTGTGGATCAGTTCTGCTTCCCCTGAGGGAGCCTGGGCTGCCAC